CAGGTAAGGTTTCGACTTTCAACCGTTACGACGCTCACACTCGCACAAGGCAGGCAAGGCTCCACTCTACACTGTTTAGGGTTTGGGGCCTGGGTTTAGGGCGTTTAGGGCAAGTTTAGGGTGTAGGGAAACTTGGCCGGTGCTTTGTAAGCCTTTGCCAAACCCGACAGCCCAAAACCTGGCTGACAGTATCAAGCATAAACCCATGACCATGCCCAAGTTCTGATTGCAACAATGTAAACCTTTCTCTACTTGGAGGTTCATGGGTAGTTATCATTGGGGTTATAAGGTAGGGTAACTATACTTATAACCCATATTGGGGGACTTATAACCCCACGTATAACTACCCATGAACCTCCAAGTAATCCTTCAACTCAACCTGCACTTAGACTATTAAGGCGGCTAAGCTGAGGCTAGACGAGGCCGAGGCCGTAGCCGGGCAGATGGCGGAAGAGCTAGGGCTAGAGTACCAGCCCTTCATGGCAACGACGCTGGAGCCCTAAGGAATAACATTGGTAGCCATTTAGGTGGGTAGGTGCCAAAATTAGGGTCCCTTTTTGGGCCCCCATGAAAATACGGCACTTATTCTTCAGGGTACCCGAAAAGGGACCATAATTTTGACAACAACCCATTTAGGTGTCTATGGTACTATTGTTTCGTCGAGTCGCAGTGCTGTCATGCCTTTCTCGTCCTGGACGAAGATGTCACAGCCCGCCTGTCACAGCTCAAAGGGGAAAAGGAGGGACCCTTAATGGGGACCCCTACCCTATAATGAGCTATATAATGGGTATATAATAGCTATATGAAGGGTCTATACCTAGGGGTCCTATTAAGGGTCCCTCCTGCGGCTCGGGCTGCACACGACAAGGAAAAGACAAGCGTCATGCTCTGTTTCTCCTCACTCCTGATGTTGAAGTTATTCCCCTAGGGATCTAAGGACTCACATATTCAGGCTGTTGGGCCCAAAGACCCTACTATACAAGGCTTTTGGGCGATTTTGATTCCTAGGGTTCTGCTTTGTGTGTTGCATGCTGGTTGCTGCAGAAATCCTGGAGGAGTCTGCCAGTCTCTCGGTTTGCCTAAGACCTAAGAACAACAAACCCGAAGCCCTTAAAGTGATCCCCAGAAAGTTGGAACATGGATTTGGGATGACTAGTGCGGGGATTCCCTCTACTTTACCTTGAAGGTATGGGGATAATGATAATGAGGTTCCAACTTTCTGGATTCTGTATCCCTGAAACCTACCAAAGCTTACCAACATGTATGTCCGCCTCCTGTCCGCATTAACCACTTTCCCGCTTTACGATGTTAAAACAACAAACAAGCCCAAAGGGAAAACGGAACATTGTAGCAAGTATGTTGGCACCCCAAAATAATACATGCCATACCATTACTTGGACCCTTTTGGAAGAGAACCGAAACAGTACTTTCAAAAGCAAAGGTGGGTCAGACAGTCTCTGAATCTCGTCAGACATCCGACCTGGATCAGAAGCGTTGCTACCTCTTCGCTGCCAGTGATCGCAGCCCAGATCAGAGGCGTCCAGCCATTTCTTAGCTTCGCTCTTCACAAAATACAGAACTGAATGCAAGAGATGTTAGGGTCCCATGCATTTAGGGGTTGTTGTTGGAACACAGGTGGAAAAGTATCTGGGAAACCAATGCAATCAAGATCCACCCGGCTGCAAACCCGAGGTTCTGTGCTTATTTATCGTTATCGTATATGGCCGGTTGTTGTCCCGATGCAGACCCATCTATGCTTCACTGAGGCAGTCTACCACCAGCTGGGCTTCTGGCTAGTTAGTGCTTGCTTGTACCACAACTTTGGTAATGGAAAAGTCGTGCTTCGGCTCCTTGCTAGGCCGCGGAAGTAGTCTTCAGTTTTGCCGCGTGCTCATGAAAGGGGAGGGCAAAGGGATCGATCCTCTTGCTCCTCCGAACCCAGAACTGGAAATCCTCGATTCGGCTCCTGGCTGGATTCTGCTGGCTTATGGTCCAAGTTTATGACAGCAAATGCCTTGCTTCGGCTCCTGACCGGGTTGTCCTCACTTTTGGCGCAACTTCACTACTAGAAATGCATCGGTTCGGCTCATGGCTGGATTGTGCTCGCATGTACTACAGGTTTAGCACTGGAAATGCCTCGTTTCGGCTCCTTGCTATGCCGCGGAAGTTGTCTTTAGTTCTGCTTCGCGTTCGTATAGCCAACAACGGCAGTGAAAACATGACCAACACACTTCTCGGACACAGTATTCGATTTGCACCGGTGGCAAAATTCTGTCTCTCCGCGGCCCCAAAACTCAAAACTTTGATGATTCCTCCAACACAAATTATCAACAAATACTCCATCTACAGGGGCGCCGTCGTAAAGTTCAAACTCTTACAGAGTATGTGTGGGCTGGCAGGCTCGGATGCTGTTGCAATCCTTCAAAGGCCGCGCATGCACCTTCCAAAATCCAAGCTTCTTGTTCCTGCCGTTCATGTTGACCTGCAAGGGTTCCGTGCACCCAACCTCATGGCCCCGACTCAACCAAAGGCTTGCTAGTTGAAGGAAGTGAACTCAGCCTTCAGATGCTATAGGGGCTTAAATTGATACCAGTACTATTCTGGGGGCTTCTTATTGTAAATCATATAGTATCATATACCCCAAAACCAAAACCCTATTCTAATTGCTAAGGCCCCTATGGTACAGTCTCTTGAGCACCCCTTTTGACTTTTTCCGACTGAAGGGCTTTGGATGCTTTTTTCGGCTCGAGCGCTTCAGGTTGAAAGGTGGCACAAGTTGGCCCTACTGTTGATGATCTAAATCCTGCATTACTTTAAGAACCCTAAACTATGGGGATTATTGTATATTCCTTATTATGGGTAGTGCAGGATTTATATCATCAACCGTAGGTAGCCTTAACTTTGCTAGCATAGGTACTTCTGCCAGAGTTACAGCATAAGCCCCTTCTCGGGGCAGGGCGATCAACAGTATACTATCAGCGGGAAGCATGTTCATGGTAGTACTAGCACTTCATAGCACTAGCAGTCATGATAAAAGGGCAATGGAGTGGTTTTTGGGCCAAGGTGTTGGCTATAGTTTTGGCATCAGGGTAACATGGAACCTACACAAGGAGACTCTGTATAGAGCACTGCCCTTCTCAAGCGATGTAGGTGATTTGGTGTTCCGTATCAGTTTGCGGGAGGACTAATGCCCCAGACAAGGCAATCGGGCCCGTCGACTCGTCCAATCTCGGTCTCCGCGTCCCGCAGTAGGATCCCTTAAAATGTAGCAGACCCGCAGTGAAGAAACCGAATCGATAAATCTTCTCTGAAACCCTATACGACCTGTACACTGTACGTAAACATGCTACGGAAGCCCTATAAAAGCCTGGCAGGCAGACATGTGAATCCCGTACAGACAAGGTACCCCGAACCCAGCTACCTCTTTGCTCATCTGAAATACTCTTTCACTTGTGACACTTTTGTGAAGCCGCACCTGCTTTTGAGAAAGAAGGAACCGAACGACCTGGCAAACTCAAGCTTCTGGAATTTGGCGTTCAGGGCTCATATGCTTGAGCTTTTCAGTGTTGCTCTGGGATTGGAGGTCTCGGGTGGAGGAGTGAGACATTGGTGAATGATCCAAGTGTGCTGCCTGAAAGCTTCAGTGGATCTAACCCTAGAAACCCTAAACCCTGCTACTACTTTCAGCCGAATGCTGAAGCGCTAACCCGTTCAGACTAAGTATCGTGACACTAATAAGCATCCAAGGACTACAATCTTTATACTAGGGGCTAATGTTTTATTTGCTAATTATTCAGACTCCTGTATCCTAAACCGTACGTACTAAGTTGTAAACGAGTGTTTCCGATCAGTGCATTTCTCACGCCAGCATGCTGACGACTGCGTGGCTCCGTGAACTTCAGAAACGTTCGATGCATTGGTTTGCGGGCTCTACCGCTTATTGTTTACGGCCCCAGCCCCAAACCCTAAACCCTGCCTGTTGAAGTTTTGGGTTACCGACGTCGTTTGCACTGGGATGCACCCTCTTCGGGTCGAACTTCCGCTTGTTTACAATCCCGCCGAGGGCTCTGCTTTCTGTAGTGGAAGTTCGCTGTCGGAAACACCCCAGCACTTGTTTTGCGACGACTTGCTCAGGGGCTACGGGGAGGTGTTGGACTGGGGGAAGGGCTTGAGGGTTTGGTCTTTGTGGCTTCCTGACCTTGCAGGAAAAGCTTAAATTGAAGCCTCATGATGTCGAGGTGCCGGTGAACATGCCAACTGCAACTGAACCCTCAACCACGTACCTGACTAAATTAGACGCGAGCCATGTTTTACAGATATACATAATTAATTTGATGCACTCCAAACTGGCGACCCTCTTTGGAACCCGAAAGAACACGGAATCGTCAAGTCCTCTTTGAAGCTTCGGCTCCAAAAAAAATTTCTGAGCCTCCACCCCAGAGATGTCTGCAGATCAAGATGCTCGGGTTTAAGGTTTAGGGCTTCGTAGTCTAGCTGTTGATTCAAAGGCAGCTTTTTCGGCTCTTCAGAAGGATCTCCATTCCTTGCCTCGACTGACACCTCGCCCTGCAATCATCGGTTTTGAGTCGTGCTCGAGTTTCGAGGAGTCGACGCTGACTTGCACTTAGATGCTCCCCTTGCTAGGGTGGATCTAGAAATCCCTCCTTTTTGCCACTGGTCTGAGGTACCCTAAGCCCTAAACACCTTGTTTTGAAGAAGCGGGGGAAAGGGGGGGCTCTAAACCCGAAACCCTAAACCCCAAACCGAGGCCCCTAAACTTTAAACCCCAAACCGAGGCCCTGATCTCAGAAGCGCGAAGTGGCATCTTAAGCCAAACCCCTGCTTCCCAAATGCTGCTCAGCCCGGAACCTAGATGCCTTAAACCGTAAATCTTCAGTAAAGCCTGTACGGTCTTGACCCATCTTAAACCACAAACCCTAAACTTCTGCTCACACACTTGTACACTATATGAACCTTCTGCTCATCTAAGACAGCAGCCTCTACTTGACCACTCCGCGCAGCGACGTGCAGCAGTGAGTTGCCGGCCGCGCAGCGGACACTGAGCCCGGCCCCCTTACAGAAGCGCCGGAGCTCTGCGACATCGCCTGAGTCTGAGTTGATTTCGGTTTGGGCTCAAGGGGTTCCCTAGACCCTAAACCCTGATGGGTTCAGGAATGCAGGAGGTGTCATCTTGAAGTAGCTGGGCTCAGAAGACTTCTGCAGCTGGTACTGCTGCAACGATTGCGGCTGCTACTACCAAGACCACCACCACCACTCCTCCTCCTGGTGCTGCTACTATTACTACTACTGCTTCCATCATGGTGGCTACCACCACTGCCACGACCCACTACCGATTACCTGCTGCTTGCTACCTACTATCTGACGACATAATTTAAAAACCTCCTAAGCCGGAACTCGCTTGTCCTCCTTTCGGGCTTGCGGGAGTTGTAAGGTCCGATCTAGAGGTGAATTCGTTACGAGAGCTCGGCATACCCTTTGAATTCCTCTTATCATTCCTTGAAACCCCATATGGGAGAGTCCGAAAATGGGGGACCCTAATGTAGCACCCTAAACAGTAGGATCCTTATCACAAGGACCCCAAAATAAGGTACCCTAATCTTCGGAAACTCCCATATAAAGCCGAAGAACTCATCCTAGTTGCTCAGACCCCGATATTCGGACTGAAAGTCCGAGCTTCACAAGAGCGCTCTGCAGTCGAGCCATGCGACCACATTACCCAGAGGCCCCAAAGTAGTTCCTTTTGGGGATTACCCTATAGGACTCTATATATGAACCCCAAAAAGGAACTACTTTTTGGGGCCTTTGGGTAGGGACCCAGAAAAGGACCTAAACAAAAGCAGAAGGTTGGGATATCCCAGAATCCCTCTTTAATAAAGCCAATATGATAGGGATATCCCACCCGAACGTTTATGTTTGGGTGCTTCTCTGGCTCCTGGCACATAGGAAAAAAAGCTTCATAGGAAACCAGACCTTGTACAGCTACCAACCGAGTATGTTGGGAACCTTAAAATCTCAAATCTCTACGATGCCCTAGACCCTAAACCCTAAACCGTTTCGGGTTCTTTAATATTGGAGAACCCGAAATCGTAGAGCTGCAGCTCTCTGAAAGTGCCTAGTGGCCCTTGTCGCACGCCTCGTGCGCCGCGCTCCAGCCGAACTCGTGGCCACGGGGTTTCCGATCCGGGTCGTCGGCTTCATTGTCGAAATCGTAGCCGAAGTTCCCTCTCAACGACTTCCTGTGCTATGGATCAGGGTTCAAGGTTCAGGGCACAGTAAGGATTTAAGGCTTCTGCAGCAAGGTTACAGGGGGGAGGGGGTTAGGGTCTAATTACCTGTATAGTCTCCATTGCAGCTCCTTTTTGGGGTTACCTTTTAGGATCCTTAATATATAACTGATTAAACCAAAAAACTACAATGGAGACCATAGGTAATTCGAATTCGCGCTTAAGAACAAAGGATCTGGGGTTTACGGGCTTTTGGCGATGAAGGGCTTTGGCTGTTAAGGTCCCCAAAGAGCGCAACATCACTTAATTGAGGAAAATATGGCTTACTTCAATTATAAAGGGCTCCAGATTCTGATTTAAGCCTTATTCCTCATTCAAGGAATACATGTCTTAAATTATACAAAGGTCTCCAGATAATGATCTACGCTATATATTCCTTAATTAAGGGGTATTGGGCTCTCTGCTTGGGGGGTCGGGGGACTTAGTAAGTAGTTAGTCAGTAGACTTATAAGTATCCTAAAAGGGACACTAATCGGGGTTATGGTAGTTAAAAGTCCCCAAAATAGCCAGTTACTAAGTCCCCTAAACCCTAAACCCTTATAGAATCCCTATAGATCCCTTTAAAGGGGCCCCTTTAAAGGAACCCCTTAAGGTTACTAAGTCCCCCGACCCTCCAAGTGGGTCTCTGGGTCTCTATGTCTCCTGCCAGGGCAGTGGGGTCCAGGCCAAGGGGCCAAGGGGTTTAGCGGCTCAGTGGTTCAGAGGTTTAGAGGTGTAGGATTTAAGGATTAGGGTGTAGGGATTAGGGCTTAGGGATTAAGATTTAGAGGTTTAGAGGTTTAGGGTTTAGGGTTTAGGGCTCCGGGCCTTGGTCTCTGCTGTTCGGAGCTTAAGCAGCAGCTGCCAAAACTGAACAGAGTGGCTTCCCTTAGGAAGTAGGTCGGTAAAGCTGTAGAGCCCGTGAATCAATTGGCCGAGAGTCGGTGACGGGCGCAGATCCTGGGAGTCGACCTCACCCCAAGCCTGTGAGACACGGGCATGGCGTCTGGCAGACAATCCTGAAACCTTCAAAGCCGAACAGCCCCGAACAGCCGGCACTGGGATCCTTTTTGTGAAGAACTGGCTGGTGATGCATGCTTTAACCCCACAACGGAGTTGAGAAGAAATCGTGCAACGACGATACAAGTATGACCCTGGCAATAGCAACGACGGTGAATGGATAGGCAGCTAGGTACATGGCCATGACAGTGACATTGATTGCGCTTGCCACTTGTCTGGCAACGATGGCGATGATGGCGATGATGATGATGATGATGATGGTTGTCGTGGTAATGGTGGTGGAGGATATAATGATGACGATGATGTTGAGGCAGATGCAGATGCTGTTGCAGCTGTTGTCTCGGGCGAGGATCAAGATGGATATGACAATGAAAAGCAAGCATCATGGCATTTGGAAACACATGCTGCTGATGATACTGCAGGTCAACACGCGGCCAGCGCAGCGGACAAACAACTAAGTTGGTGTGTACTCGATACATATGCACGCATGCATGTATGTCAAACGCATGCTTGGGTGTAGATGTATTTTAAGCTTGCATCTGAATGTATACATACACTTACACACATACATATATATACATATATATATGTATATATATGTATATATATATATATATATATGTATATATACACATACATACACACATGTCTCCCGCTCTCTCACTCACTCCCAGCATATGAAACCTGTATACATGTGCAAGCAGAAAGGGAATCGACAGACGCTTGTCACGATGGCGCTGTTGATCATACGTCTTGGCCCCACATGAGGGCCACATGGTTTGAATTGACGACTCGGAGGTTCATGGGTAGTTATAAGTGGGGTTATAGGTCCCCTAACATGGGTTGTAAGTACAGTTGCCCTACTTAAACAACTACCCATGAACCTCGAAAGAGTGTGTAACGCTCTCATGACAGACTTCGCCCTGAAGAAACAACAGAAAGAACCATGCTCAGCTGTAGCTCAACATACCAATCCCCTGAACTCTAAACCCTTTTTGCTAGTGGGCTTGAGGACTAGCCAGATGGGTAGTTGTCAAGATGATGATCCCTTTTTGGGTACCCTAAACATTAGGTGCCGTATGATATCAAGGACTCAAAAAGGGACCATAAGTTTTGACAACCAGTCAGATCTACATCCGAAACCTCAAGTCGAGATCCGACTACATCTGAACCGAAAGTTGCACAACTGCTTAGAGGATCATGGGACTTATTAAGTAGGCTTATAAGTAAGGTAACCATAGTTTTACTTATAACCCAAATTAAGGTACTTATAACCCTGCTTCTTAAGCCCCATGATCCTCCAACCCGGCCTGCAGAGTTTTCGATGTTAGCCTTTTGCTGCTGCTTCGGCCTCCCAGTGGGGTGGACTTGATGCCACCGGAGCGAGCCGAACCGGAGCTGCCCTTCCTGTTTTCGGTTGCGGGAGCAGGAGGCATGGCAGTGGCAATAGCGGCAGTAGTAAGCAAGTATGACTTTACCATCCCTACGCACTAGGACCGTATTCGTACCAGAGATTATCAACACTATCATCACTTCAATTGCAACTATCGCAACAATGAAGCACACATACACACACACATATATATATATATGATGTATATATATATATATGTATATATACATACATACATATACATATTGTTGTCAGAATAGCTGTTTCAAAAGATATTTCTTGTAACAAGGCCCCAGAGTCGAATTCGAAGAGGCGGCAGAGGCGGGTCGCAACGCCGATGGTCGCAGCCCGCCCGAGGCAGGTCGGGTGAGGGTGGCCGGGCTACTGGGCCTGCCGACTGGCCTCAGTCTGCATCGATTTCCGGTTTTTGGCTTAGGGCTTAGGGTTTAGGGGTGCTATAGGTACGGTTGATGATATAAATCCTGCATTACCCTAAGGACCCTAAGCTATGGGAATTATGGTAAATTCCTTATTATGGGTAAGTTCTTTTCCCTCCTACCTAGCAAGGACGAAGCCCGGATTGCAGGGTAACTGCGAAGTAACATCTGACAAAGCTGCGACATTGACAGCTAATGTTTATGGTTTCTAGGATGCCCGGTAAGCTAGGAATAAAAAGGGCTCCCCTGTTGGTATGGGTAACTTTATAAGGAACCTGGGACTACAAAAAGGGAATCAGGGTACTACTGGGCATCCTAGATTTCTTACGGTTTCAAGCATAATTACTTCAGAAAGAGGGTTCCAGAGTATTCTAGAAGGTTCTATTCCAATATTGGCGTTCAGGGGTTTAGTGAGCTCTTGAAGGTTCAGAGCTTCCCCTACATTCTACTCTGGCACTTGCGCTACTCTTAACCCTAAACCCTAAACGTTTGACACCCCTATGCCTTCGGGGCTTGGTGGGGCCTTTATAAAGACTGGACTCTCGCCACCAATGGTCACAAGATGGTCCTTCCTGTTCATTCGTCTAAATGTCCGAGTCCTGAAGAGGCTTACGGAGCTGGTTTTGTTGTTTCCCTTACCAAGTTGCCAAGAAAACCTAACTTTCTCGTCATAGTAGGGCTTAGGGTTCCTAAACCGCCTAGGCCCAACAAGTTCTGGTTGACGGTTGCCTACTCCGATACCCGGTGAGATACCCAAAGCGCTACAATACCCTGAAAGCCAACCTAGAATAATGCTTTAAGGTTTAGGAGTTTAGGGGGTTTAGGGTTTAGGGTTTTAACCCCTCGATAAGCCCTAAAGCAACTCGATGAAGACACAGCCGAGGCAAAGGCCAGGATTGAGCACTCGGAGAGGTTAATCGCATAGACCTGTTGCGATGCGGCTTGGTTTAGGTTCAAGGTGGTTTAGGGTTTCGGGGTTTAGGGGTCACACTCGGACAAGGGGTTAAGGGGTTGAGGGCTTAGGGTTCAGGACAATCGGGAGTAGGTTCGGGTTTTCGGTTTAGAGGGCTAGTGCATTCTGAAACGCAAAAGTGCGAATGCCTCAGATTGCTTCACGTATACAACTGGCCTTAGAATGTAAGTTCTGATTCCTTAAATAGTAGGTCCTTATTCTAAGGACCCTTAAAATACAATATCCCTTATCTTCGGAACTTCCGATAGAGCTCCTTGCCCAGAATCCTCAAAGCTCGCACCCTAGTGCTTCCCTAGCAAAACATTCTACATCTCTCATCCTTCACCCTAACTAACCTACCTTTTCAGGGTCTCTGGGTTCCGTATCTTTTCAGGGTCTCAGGGTTCCGTACCTTTTCAGGGTCTCAGGGTTCCGTATGATCTTTGCCTTCTTTTGTGAGTCCTTAAGACTGTACAGTAGAAGCCAGAAAGTTGGAACATCAGTCTCCTCATGCCCTTCAGAAGTATAGGGAATCCCAGCACTAATCAACCTAAATCCATGTTACCTAAACCCTAAACCCTAAACCCTAATCAACCTAAATCCATGTTCCAACTTTCTGGGATCTAAACCCTAAACCCTAAACCCTAAACCCACTTAAGAATGTAGGTCCTTCGGGGTTGAAGGATGTCCTTTCGATCCCTAACCTCCCCACGATGAAGGGTACTATTCATGGACGATGGGAGCGACATGGTTCCTTAAGGGATCTATAGGGGTCCTTAAAGGGATCTATAGGGTTCCTTAAAGGGATCTACGGTGTTTAGTTTAGGGTTTAGGGTCTACTTAGAGGATCATGGGACTGAGTAAGTAGGGTTATAAGTACCTTATTTGGGGGTTAGAAGTAGATATAGCTATAGTTACCTTACTTATAACCCTACTTACTAACTCCCATGATCCCCTAAGTATACTACACTAAAAATACCAAACTAGACTGGTCATAGACTTTTGAAGCGACATACAATACTACACTAAAAAATATCCCAAACCAAGTCAGACTTGTCCATACTCCACCGCTGTCATTTTTGAAGGTGAAGCCTCCGAGAACGCCGAGCCCTAGGCTGCTAGAAAGCGTCCAA